ATATATATACATATATAATATACATATATATATACATATATAATATATATATACATATACATATATTCTATTGCTATCCATATACGTATATGTGGCCTTTATCCTTTCTATATAGCTGCGTCTGCACTTGGCTTCGCACGTTTATAGTTTTTTCTTTACATTTTTGCAAATTTGTACGTTTATTGGTCGAATTTTCTCGTTTACTGCTTGTATAGCATATGATACTTTTGTATTTGTTTTGTCCATGTTCGCCTCGCATTATTTGGTGATGTCACTATTGTTTCGCGCTAAAGATTACTAGTATCTGTTTCCTTAGGCCCCATATCGATTTTTTTTTGGAGGCGGGGAATTGTTTCATTATTCTTCCTTTTGTTGAAGTATGTACTGATATCGAATCACTATCCGTTGGTACAGGATTCCGATGGATTTCTCAGTATATCGCATAAATGAATAAACGCTCGTACTTAGATTCGGAACGGCTGTGATGTTTTTCGAGAAACCAGGACAGTAGCTTACGTTAACTATTCTACGATGCCTTCGACAAAATAAATTAAATGTTTAAAAGAGAATGTGGACACTCACATTCTCCGCCTTCGATATATCTTAAAATTTTACGCTCAGCAATAATTTATCTTTGCGGATAGTAATAACTATGGCATATATATATGGTTTCCACACTACGGATCTAAATTATTATATAACTCCAATGCATGTAAAGGTCAGTTAATTGCATGGCTTGGACTTGCTGTAAATAGAGCGAGAGAGGTATTAGTTTAGAGCTCAGCCTCCGGCCCTACACCCTCCTATAAGAGTCAAGAGATTAAGAAGCTTCACTCAGCTACAGGGTGTCCGAGAGTGCTCATGTGCAAGAGAACGTGGTCATCAGGCCATCAGCGTTTACTCGTTTAGTCGTTTACAGAAAAAAAATGAGCGTCCAATTTTTATTTGGTAATAGTTTTACTTATCTCGATTATTATTTAAATCGGATTGGACAACATTGTACACGAGCTATATGATAGGGTTTAAATATTTTTAAGATAATTAATCGGAGTAAATAACAAGAACGTTTCAAATGAAAACGTTATGATACCATTAAAATTTTGACTAGATTTAATTAAAAAAAATAGTTCCTTCAAAAATGTCTTGGAGGGCGGCTATGTCCAGGAGGGCTATGTCAAATAATATAATAATTACATACGCAATATGCAAAGGCCAAAGCGTTTTGCATTTTTACCTAGGGGAGATCTACTCCAACTTGGGTACTGATTGGCATCAGCACTCAGCAACTGTCACTGACTCACTGACTCACAGTCACGTCTGTCAGACAGTTCTCACTTCTCTCTTGTCTGATGAGTGATGTGAGTTGTGTCTCTCACAGGCTCACAACCCAGTGCCCATAGTGAGCCCACACTCTGGCGGCCACAGCGGCACAAGCCCCACACCTCATCAGTCATCAGTCCCACACAGCACAGGCCCACAGAGGGGAGAGAGGATTACAGGGGAGAGAGGATCACAGGGGAGACCGGGAGAGGACAATCATCAGTGTAAATTTTTTTCTTCTTCATATCATTGCCCGTTGTGTGTCTGTGTGATGACCGATAATTTCAATTTGGGTTGAAGGCTTCTTGAAGCCGCTGTTCGCATTCGAATATTTGTTTTTGTTTTTTGAAAGAAAACATCTCTATGTACATTCATATTTTTAAAATATATTATTTCGGAAAACAATGAGGGAGCGCAATAGCGCATGCAAAAATACTAGTGTATTTTTATTTTCTTTTAAATAATGCACAACAACAAAGTAGAAGACGTCCTACCTTTACCGCTTCTCGCACCATTTTAAAGGTCAAAGGTCAGATGTTGTCAAAAAAAGATCAACCCCCCTCCCCAGAGGATCACCGTAAAGGTGCCAGCGCCTTGCTAATGGTCGCTGAACGAGAATACAACCACCCCGCTTATCACTCTCAGAACTCGAACGGCGAGGCTGGTCGACACATCGAGAATAATCGCTCGTGGTACAACAACCGTAGAGATAGACCTATCAATTCAAATACCAAAGGTAATCATTCTACGAGCATGCTTCAAAAGGAATCACGGGCGGTCTCGTATACTTCCGTGAGCAGTCTCTCTGGTATGAACATGGACAACCTTCATGTACACTCCGAAGAATCACGCCAAGACAAAGGTAACCATGGTCAAGGCTTTGCGACCGATATACAGTTTCCCAGTCCAAACACTACGAAGCAGCAGCGATCACGCACAAGCTTCTCACCGGCACAGCTACAGATACTTAACGCTGAGCTGGAGCAAAACGACCAGCCCAGCTCAGAGAAACGGCTAGAGCTACAGATGAAACTCAAACTGCCCGAGAAAACCATACGTTACTGGTTTCAGAACAAGCGGCAAAAGAAACGTGACGAGCTCAAGCGCGAGCAGGCTGAGACAGACGTGCACAGCAAGAAAGCCGGCAACAGCAAGTATGTTGGTGTGAGTGCGAATAAAACACGTGCTTCTCCCGTATTGAAGGCAAGTGAGGGGCCTAGCAGAGGGCCTTCGCCTACGTATCAACAACGCCCAGCGAGTGCGCAGGAGCGTCCGAGCATACACGGTCAGATGGAAATGAGTAGTAATACTATTCCACAGGTGCAGTATTCACGCAGACAGCCATCTGTGCTCAGTTCACCACAGCCCTACCACCCATACAAGTCTATTCGAAGAAGTGCCTCCAACGATAGCCAAAAATTCGATATTACTGTCGCGGCGTTGGCTGAACTACAGGTATGTGTGACCCGCTTGTACTAGTGCAGATTGGTTGGTTGTTGGTTAGAGATAATATGCTAGTTCATAAATTATGTATTGTTGCGGTTTGCGTGTATCAATTTTGAAAGCTCGATAATTCATTATGCCGGCAGACTGATGTAGTTTGTCGGTAAAGGTAGCACATGCTTAAATTGTATATTGACAGGCTGTTTCCACTCATCTTACGCTACAATACTTTGTTTGGAAACTCTTATCATCTTAAGTTATAAAATCTATAGATTAATGTTACCACAACTTCTTCAATCACGTACACGCAGCACGTTCTACCGGGACACTTTCGTTGTGAAACACCCGAAGCTGCAATGGAGAGTGCTGCTACGTACATCAAAAGTTTGCAACGCGATACAATAGCTCCGCGCTTCAACGACAGCCACTACCTGAGCGCAGGTAATAGTTACAATGAGCGATACGGAAATCGCATATCCCCACGGTACGGTAACAGAGGCCCATACGAGGTAACCCCCCATTACCAAGGACTTCCACCACCACCTCATGCAGGAATTGGTATGTATGAACAACCACATGCGTATGCACATTCACGCTCCCACTCGAGCATGAGCATGCACACAGACCAATTGAGGACACGACGCAACAGTGAGAGACTGCAACAGCTGGCGTACAATCCTGATCATCCTATGGTACGCTCGCCCCAGCCACGCTTGCGACACTCTTACACAAGAGAGTCCTCCAGAGACTATGGCCCGCCATCGGCGTCGTTCTCACGAAGCCGCACGAATGAGGAAACAGAACTCGAGCACGCACACACCAAAGGCGCGCACAACACCAACCAAAACACCACCCACGACTCCATGGATAGCCGAGGTACGTGCGAAACACGTGACTCCCGTCTTCACGAGCACGATGGGCGTGAAAAGGAACTTAGGCGCCTCGCACGTACACAATCGCAGTGTGGCAACGATGACACGGATGCAAGCCACGACGAGAACGAGCGACCCATCAAGTGGTGATCATTGGTCGGCGTTGTAGGAGGAATGTGAAATGCGAGACACTGTGTGACCATCACCAGTCAAATCGCGTACTGAGTACCGTGAGAGAAGCATTTTAGAACAGTGGGTATGGGTTGTATGCTTCGGGACGTTAAACACTGCTTCAAAATGAAGCGTGTTTGGAAACTTTATCACACCCACTGGTGTATGTACAGAGCATACAAACGCACACGTTCGAGTAAAAAAAAGTCAGTGTAAATGCACTGATATGGTCATAATCGAGTGCGCCTGAGGCCCGCTTCGCAGCGACTCGATACACCAGGAAAGCAGATGGGTTAAGAAGCAAAGTTTCTGAGCTATAGGGTGTCAAAATACCGACATTATTGTTGGTGGCGGTAAGCAATACTTTTCAAAGACTTAAACGCCTTGAGGGTTGGAAAGAAAAATATTCCAACACGCATCTATAGATGCGAGATGTGAGTAAACAAATGGCCGCTCACAGTACAAAATAATATAAACGTCGCTGGTTGACGTTTATAGAAAGCGCTAATAAAAGAACTCAGCAAATGTATTTCGTAGGTCAATTGGTAGACGTGTATGTATGTACTGTTCGGGAGTTTAAATGATACGGCAGACGCGCCAGAATAGCACTCTACATTATCGAAAACATTCTCATCGATTATGGTTATATATATGCTTCATTTGTGTATTTTTTTTCACGCGCTGTCCGAGGCAGATTAATTGCTCCCGTACTGACTTCCAGTCGCTTGTACTTCATGTATATCGTTTTAAGTCCATAGAAATATATCGGCTATAAAACCACATTTGAACTCTAACTTGCGAATTAGCTCGACAACGTGTATATATGGTAGTAAGGCTAGCCAAGATCAAATCCTTCAGCAGGTTGTACGAGAGCATCGTACGAGCCCGTAAACGCATCACAGCGTCAGAGATATTGCCACCTTTCTAACTTCGACTTGTGGTTGGAAAAGCCTGCGATTAACCACAGGAAACGAGTTCAGATGTATCCCTTTCAATATTTAATTGAAGTAGTTGGGGAAGAACTTGCCGTGTACGATGACATTGACTACCACTGATTGGTTCGAAAGCAGAAACATATCGGTTATTTTGGACGCTCCTACCAGCTGAAGATACCAAGGGACATTGGGGCCGTCGACACTGATTACAAAGTTGTTGTAAATGTTGCCTTGGAATTCAATAATATTGGTATCCATTGGCGGAGGTATACGCCGGACACCTGCATTTCGTTCGGAACTATTCCACACACGAACACATGTGCAAAATCTCAAGACATAATATAGCTTTGGAACGATGCTGCGTGGGCGAGACATTGCTGGAAATAAGTGCTGCCGTGGAATCAATAATATACTGAGCGCGAACTAATTTATTCATGTTTAGGACTTCGCGGTAATCCGTTGAAACAAGTATACTTCCGAAGAAGACGCAAGGCTAACAACGGACGGGGTGAGAATGGAGAGGTTTGCTCACTTGAGCCGTTTAAAAATTGGCACTCTCACCGGAATAAGCACGAGCATACGTATGCAATCGCCTGTTTCAGTGTCGAATAAAAAAATACATAAGCGCGAACTGCTTGGCAACCATTAACTTGTACGTGAGCTCATAGTCACCGCACAGTGCCAAAGACCGGCGAGGAAAACTAAATTTCTTGTTCCAAAGAATATAACTATACCATTACACTGATATGGTTTGAAACATACCACTGCTGTCGTTTGTGCGCCTCGAAGCGACGGATATCTGGAATATATATTCACCAGGTACTACTGTATTGGAAATCACAACCTTTAAGGCTTGCGGATATTTGAATCATCATCAGTATTCAATGAGATGACGACTATACTGCGAGTGCATGAGCCAAAGTAGGAAACGAGGCTTTGTCAATAACTTTAGGCTCTGGCGATCCTCGCAGATACCACCATGAAGCCGTTATTGACGTGGTGTTGATTGACAAGCTGCGATATGTTAGTAAGAGTGACCCAATCTGGTGTTGTCGAGCGCAGTACCTTCATAGACTTCGGAGGTGTTTGCAAGTCGTGTATCCTGTAGTCTACAGAGTATGGCCATAACGGGTGGTAGCGGTCTGCGCCATTGCGGCTGAGTAAATTTATAGGGGAAAAGTGCAATACATGGATAAGCCAACGACAAAAAAAAAACAATTCCTGCAATAGATTACAACTGTGACCAATCAGTGGAGCGCTCAGTGAAATAACGTGGGGCTAGAACGAGGTAACCGCAAGTACTGTTGCCACTTACTCGAACATCATCTCGACTTTCGCCCGAATTTTGACGGGGCCACTGGAAAAGTACCCGCCAGTTTGATTGATGGACACTCTGAGCCTGAATTGCGTATCAACAATGGTGGTCAGCGGACCCTTCCACTCGGTGCCGGGTTCTGTGGTATGCACAACAGTTTATCGAATAAGCGAACATTCTAGAGACTAAATATGCTCAGAAAACCTGCTCAAGCAGCACAGATACACTACAACTCGATCAGAATGCAATATTTTCATCGCGCGAGAGACTAGGGAATGAGAGTCGTTTTATATATATATATATACATACATACATACATACATATATATATATATATATATATATGTATATGTATATATATATAATTTCAACATAGTTTACCAGAATACATTGCAACTTGCCCAGTTGAAGACATTCCTTCGTACAAGAACAAATAAATAAATAAAAAGCTCCGCAGTTTGTCTTTGATCTGTTGAAGTATATTGCAACCCACTCAAAACAAGTAGATTGGTAGCTGCAGACCGTGCTCGACAACTTTCGCTACTCAAGCATGTATGCGGAGCTGCCAAAGCCGAACCGCATGGAAAGTACACTAGCTGAGCAATTTATAATAGAAAGGAACGCAATAACGTTTTGCATCAAGGAAAAAAAAACAGCGAATAAACCTATGCATGGTATGGATAGCATATATAGATTTTTGACTGTAGAAACAAGAATTTCCATTTGCCCTACTCTCTCGATTTGCATGAAAGGAAGGATAATTTTGACATTCGTGTTGACTGCTGTGATACAATATGGCAATATGGTTTGTACACAGTAAGCTAGTGATTTTTCTGGTCTGAGATGGGTACATATGGATTCCACCAGAAAAAGTCAGCAGCACTGCAGATTCCCAAAATTTCTTTATACCATTGTACTCGTAGTCTCCGATACATTTGCACCCGCATGTACAGAAAGATGGCATGACCAATATGTCTGAAATACCCTGGTACCGAGCCCGCATGTCGATCACGAATTTCCTTAACAACCCAACATAGTTTCAATTTAAAACAAAGTACTGATAGATTCTGATATATGCACAGGTATACGGTGTTTGCTAGCAGAATTATGTGGGTCAGTAATACTAATTACACAGAACAATGTGAAGCATACTTGAACTAAAGTCAGTGATGCGAAGCTGCAAGAAACCATATGGGCACCGAGGCCGCATTATATTCACCAATTCTTCCGTCCACAGCTGATTCTGCAAACCGAAAAAGTTTTGCATAGCTGCAAGCCAAAGACCTTGTGTGACCTGCGAGGGACATCAGAACATGATCGGTAAGTCATAAGTTCATAACTAAAGGCCCTATCAAACAAGATGACAACAGAGGAATAGTATCCACCCCATTACACACAAATCGGAACTAAAAACAAAATAGTAAATTCAGGCCCGCGTGAACAATTGCGAGATTAGTATATTGAATAGTAGCATGCGATCAAAACTGCGAGATCTCATACCTCCGGTGCAACTTGCATCATCTCGGCCGTATAGATTTCAGCCTTTTTAGGGCCCTCCTCTACAAGGATTGTTGAAAACAGAAGACAAACTTGCGTGAACGTATGTAAAACAAAGAATTGCTTATCTCTGGAATGCAGCGCTGCAGATGACCCCACAGCAGGCAGTATAACATGCCGTTGATACCGTTCTACATGTGCGAGAGAAATATGCAAGTGCCCAGCAAGCCCGCGCTTGCTACGTTGATACAAAAGCCCAGTAGAATTCGCTACATTCGATAGAGGGGTGTGTTGAACACTACCCAAAGGAAGTTTGTGCTATGCACTTTTACAATGACCGTTGTTAAATTGATGTGTACTTCTGACACTGCGCTATCGTAGGTTGGCAGTATGATAATATACAATCATTTTAAATATATATAGATTAAACCGAACACAACCACACCTCCCCTTACTCTATACAAACATGTATAATATATATATATATATATATATATATATTAAGTACACACATACATACACACATACACACACACACACACAACAAAAATTA